GGTGTGGATGGCCATGTACATAGCCTGCCCGGCCACTGAGGAAGGCTGGGGCTTGGCCAACCCTGGGCCCTGAGTGTGCAGTGACATAATTATTCAGACTCTGCCACTTCCTAGTCAGGGCCTGGCTTTCCTTTCATCTATAAGCCAAACTAGTGTGAGGAACACCTTACAGCTCTGTGAGGATTTGTCACTAAGGACCTAATCTTGAGCCTGGTACATGGTACGCAGGTGAGAGATGTGACCCTTTTATAACTGGAGTGAATGCCCGTGCCAGGTGGCCCAGGACAAACCTTGGGTACATCAACTGAAATCCTCAAACAGCCCTAAGGCCCATGAGGAGGATGGGAGCAGGTGCGAGCTACCTGATTTGTCCAAGGTCACATGCTGGGGACAGCCAGACTTGATTTAAAACCAGATTTGTCTGCCTGACTCCAAAGCCCAGACCTCTCCCACCACCTCCGGAAACTAGCAGAGGTGGGGGTGTTGGAGCTGGCTTGAGGGGAGATCCTGAGGGCTTAGGTTATGTCTGGAGCGGCCCCAGAGGGCAGCCAAGGGCACTGGGTGGCCCCTGAGGACCAGCCCTGTCCTTCTGCACACCTCACATCTGCATGGTTGTCCCTGTGTTACTGGATGACTGTTTAAATGGCACCCCAGAGTTCTCTGATGCCTACCCTAGGCTTGCCATCCGTCTCCCTTCTGTCCCTTTGGTTGGTGTTCTTGATTTTTGGGGTAGTGGGAGTGACTCTGTGGGCTCTGGACAGCCAGACACACTCCTGGCTCTGTCATTCCTAGCACAGTGGTTCTGGCACTCTGCTGGACCTCCCTCAGACTGAATCCTCTTCCTTCAAGCTAAGCCCAGCCCAGCCAACAGTCTTCCTTGAACCCTGAGCACAACTCATGAGTACAGGGTGGAGAACATTCTGGAAAGGAGGAGCGTGGGCCAACGTGCGTGACGGCATTATGAAGTCAGAAGACAGTCTGGCCCTGGTGAATGCTGTGGGATTGGGGGCCAGGTTGTCACTTGCCCAAAAGAAATACCTTTTCCTTTTAAGGCAACAAGCTAGATATTTATATACTGAATTTTAGGGTCTGTCTAAAACTGAATGCATTTGTCTGGAACCCAGTCCTTAGCCTTGTTTTTCTATCCTACTTCCCACACCCCACCTCACTCCACGCTTCCTGGAGTCCTTCTGCAAATGCTCACTGGCCGCTCCCTGTGGGGTGTCCCCCTCCAAGCGCTGGGAAAGCCATGCTGAGGAAAAGCAGAACCCTTCCATACCGCCGAGGGAGGGGTGAGGTGGGGGAGGCAGACAGCAGCTCAGTGATGGAAGGCGTACGGCTACAATTTCGACCACAGGAATTTAAAGTCCCCAGTGCCTGGGTCAGGGAGAGAAGAGTCAGACTAAGCTGGGAGAGTTGACAAATAAGCTAAGATCTGAAGGAAGGGCAGAGCTGCACGTGCAAAGACCCAGTGGCCCAGGGACCTGGTGCTTAGAGGAGGGAGGAAGGAGGGCTCTAACCACTGCCTCGTGTGTTTTTCCGCTCTGGGGCTGTCTTTCTCCCTGCATGACCCCACCCTCTTCTCCTTAGAAGTCTCGCCCATCTTCAAAGCCCAGCTCAAAGGCTTCCCTCCTTCAGGAAGCCTTCCAGGAGCTGTCCCGCTCTCATTCCTCAGGAAGGAAAGACCTGCCCCGCTGTGACCTCCCTCATTGCTGAGTGCCTTCTGGGTCTTACTCCTGCCATCTCTTGTGCAGACTGCATCCATATCCGTGTCTGTCCAGGGCATAAATTCTCAAGGGAGGACCGTGTCTGCTGCAGGGTAAACTAGGAGGCACACGGTCCCAGGTTTAGCAGTGGAATTTTGCACAAATGACTCCATCTATCTGGGTCTCAGTCTTCACACATGGCATGGGGGCTGAGGTGGGGAAGGCGTGGTGTGGCACTGCAAAGGGTTTGGAATGCAGAGAAGGGGAAGTTGATTGCGGAAGGAAGCCCGGGCTCAAGGACTCAGGGATTTAGGCTCACATAGACCTCAGATCCTCAAATTTGTCAGCTATTAAGAAATACCCCAGCTGCTTGTTAAAAATGCAAATTCTCAGCTGGGCGCTGGGGGCTCATGCCTGTAATCCTAGCTACTCAGGAGGCAGAGATCAGGAGGGTCGAGCTTCAAAGCCAGCCTGGGCAAATAGTTCTTGAGACCCTATCTTGAAAAACCCTTCACAAAAAAAAAAAAAAAGGGCTGGTGGAGTGACTTAAGGTGTAAGCCCTGAGTTCAAGCCTAATACAGCCCAAAAAAAAAAAAAAAAAAAGCTCTGAGTGCAGACCAGATACCTGTGTTCTAAAAAAAGCCCCCATGTGGTTCAGATGCTCAGTCACCCAGTTCTCCCTCCTTATCTCAGGGTTATACACCCATGTGTTTGGCCCGGTAACTGCTGTGCATCTCCACCCCACTGTGGACGCTGGCTGTGGCTGTGGACTTGATTTGGCTGGTAAGACACAGACACCTGCTGTGTGGCACGGCTCCCACCACACTCCTGCCCTTCACCTTGACAGAAATAAGCCTGGATGGCTACTGGTTCAACAAGGAGGAGGAGACGTGTGGAACAGACCAAACGCAGCCTATGTGCTGGACTCCTCCCCAGCACAGAAAGCCTGGCCAAGATGAACGAGGCTCTGGCCGATCCACAGACCAGATAGTAACAAATACTTCCTGTTGTTAACTGCTGAGTTTCGGGATGGGCTTGTTAGCAGCATCACCACTACAGTAGCTAACTGACGAATACACCAAGGCCACACACAAACAGATGGCAAACCTAGAATTCAAACCAGTGCTTGTTCTTCACTGCTTCTGTCTTTCAATCCCAGATGTTCCCCTGGACCCCTCCTCCTGGAAGCCCCCATCCCCATACTCTGCCCCATCTCTCCTCTCTGGGCACATCTTGCACCAGGCAGGCAGGTCCATTCTTAGGTCCACCACTTGCTACTAATAAGCACAGGTTTCTTAGCAGCCAGTTTCACTCTGGAACTCCAGCGGGTGCAGGGGAGGCTCCACAGCCCAGAAGGGCCCCAGGAGCTTCCTCTCTGGCTTCTCCCAGTTGAAAAATGCCGTCCTCCTCACACCTCTGCTGGGAGCCAGATCCTGCCCAGATCAGAGCTTTGCCAAGCTGGAGAGTCACTTCTGAAGCCTTGTAGTCTGTCAGGTGACTTGGTCAACAGCTGTGGCTTTGGGGCTTCTCTAAGATCTCCTGCTTTGAGTCAGCCCCTCTGAACCCCAATCTGAGGGTGGCCTCAGTGTACTAGTGATCCTACAAGAACTGCAGGCACAAATTTATAAACATACCTTGGGCACAGCAATGCCACACACATCCCCACATGAAGCCACACTCCTGACACAAACTCAGACAGGCAGAGCCACACTCGTTTGTACAAAGCCCCAGTCAAGTGCATCACCTTCTGTCCCCCAGGACTCCTTGGGGTGAGACACTCCAGCCCCACAAATGCACATATAAACAAGAAGTCACATGACCAGGATGCATGACAAAACCCCACATATTCTCATTAACATAGATGCACACCCCAGGCGCACCCCAGGATCACCTTCGTGCTCCACAGTCCTGCATACACCCAGAGTCTCTCAGACCCCGCCAATTCCTGCCTCTTGGTCTTCCTGGATTGTGACCTGACTTCTCTTAGTATCATCTGAGAAATGGGGATGAGGAGGCCTTGGGATGCAGTGAGGTCGTGAGTGGAAATCACCTGTCACCAGGCGGAGATGTTTACTCCCTCCTACCCTGTCCTGTGCCCTTTCCCCTTCTTGGAATTCCATTCCTCTACTGTTCTCTTCACAATTCTTCTGATCCTTCAAACTGCAGGTCAAACACTACTTCCTCCAGGAAGCCTTCCTGGGCCTTCCTTGCACCTCTGCCTCTGTCCCCCTGCGTGCTTTCTGTGTGGGCCTACTTTACATAGGAAGGACAAGCTGGGTAGCCTGCAGTTTTCTCTACTGTAGTCTGGCTTCCCTTGGGTCTCCCTCAGACCATGCTCACTGTGAGGCCCTGGAGGTTTGCTGAGTGAATAACTGAGGGGCATACTCTCAGTGCCAACCTCAAAATATCTACCTACAGGTGCCATAATGTCCTTGGTAATCTAATGGGGCCCACAGGTGGGGCACATGGCTGGGAAGTATCTCCTGGACTTGGTCGCATGGAGGTCTCAGGACAGAGCCTGTGTGGAGTGGACTAAGGAGAAAATGGGGCAGTGGTAGGATGACATTCCTTTGTCCCTTTTTTTACCCCTGGCAATGCAGGGGTAAAAAAATGCACAGAAAGGATCATGAAAGGTGAGCATCAGGAGGAGAGATGTTTCTAGAATATAATTCCTCCTGCTGGGTATCTGCTAGCATTAGAGTGGAGTGGGCAAAGGGTCAAAGGCAGCCCTTGTAGAAACTGCTGGACACCCACTGGAATCTGCTTCTGCTTCCTCTGAGTTAGAGGTTGAAGTCCTGCTGGGGTGGTGACCTCTTCCCCCTCTGTGGCTAGGTGAGACCACATGACCAAGTCTATGTCATGGACCATTTTTCCCAGGTACCTTGCTTAAAGGTCATTGCTACCTGGATCTCCTCTCCCTCTTCCCTGGACTTGGCTTCCACCAGGTGGACAAGAAGCAGAGGGGAACCAGGGTCTCCCAAGTCTCTGCATGGATCTGAGCCACCTGCCCACCTCTGGACTCTTCCATGAGTGGCTTTAAGCCACTGAATGTGGGGCCTTTTTTGTTATAGAAGCTAAACTTGTACCTTCTTATGTGTTCTAAAAAAGGTAGCCATTGTTACAAATGCAATTCCAACTGAGAGGGAAGGCTTACTCCCCCGGGAAGGTAAACCGTGTAAGAGGTCTTTGAGAGGAAAGGATCACTCTGATGGATGTGAGAGTCTCTCCCAGGAGCTGGCAGGGCTTGACCTGGCACAGTGTGACAGCCCCCTTTCCCCCATCTGTGGTGCTCACCTGCTTGGTTGGTGGTGATGTTCACAGAGGCAAACTGTGGTGAGAAGGGGCTCTGGTCGGTGACTCCGTTCACAGCTTGGATCTCGAAGGTGTACTGGGTGTGCGCCAGTAAATCACTGATGTAAATGCGCGGTTCGGTCAGGCCCAGCTGGCGGGGTGCGTACTGCACGTTGTCACCACAGCGGGTACAGGCACCCCGGCCTGAGCCACAGCTCTTACAGATGATGTTGTAGACCAGATCTTCTCGGCCACCCGAGTCTCGGGGTGGGGTCCACTCTAGCATGAGGGAGGTTTCGTTGACGCTGGAGATCACAGCCTGTGGTGCAGAGGGGATAGCTGGGGAGGGGAGAGGGGGCATCAGTGAGGGCCATGGGGGCTGTCTCCACTGTGTGCCCACTGCCTGACTCCAGCCCAAAGGACTTCCACCAAGTCCTTCCTCCTGTCCACCCACCCAAGGGAAGTTTCTAGAATACAAGTCATTACGGTGCATCTGCATCTGTTTCCCTCCTTGGTATCTGTTCCTGGGGACAATGCTTTTGTGTCTGGAGTAATACTGAACTCTATTTAATCCCCCCTTCCTTTATAACAGAGCCCAACTTTAATCAGGGTGGCAATGTGTTCAGCTAGAAGACCATATTTCCCAGACTTCTGTCACTAAGTGCTGGCCATTAATAAAGGGCTAAAATTGTTGAGTAGGAAATGAGTCTCAATAGGGAGACAGCCAGCTGTAACATGTCCCTTTGTCCTTTCCTCTCTTCTGCTGTCTAGAATGTGTATGATGGCTGGAGCTTCGGCAGCTATGTTGGACTATGAAAGTGACCTTCAGGATGGAAACTGCCTTCTCTAGAGGCCATCATGAATTTACCATACTGTCCCCGGATGGAGCTCCTTTTATCTGAGAGAGCAAATCTTTGTGGTGGTTTAAGCCACTGGGACCAGCTCTGTGTGTCCATCCCTGACTGACACAAGGGTTGTAATTTTGCCCTGTCCTGGAGAACCATGGCCTGGGATTCAGACAGCGGCTGCCAGGTTGGGCACTGGGAACCCTTTTCTGCATAGACACCACCTGTGTTGGCTCTTCTCCTGCTAGGCCTCCCATCCTTTGGCCCTTTGTGAGGTAAAATCTTGACTTTATCCAACACGTGACTGAGCAGAGGGGAGTTGGAGACAGATGCCAGCTTTGCAGAGTCTGCATGCTGGCAGTGGCTACCCCAGGGCTGGTTTTCCATTTCTCTCCCACCAGGCACTTTGGCTGCTCTACGCTCAGGAAAGGGTTCTGGCCCAGCAGCTACCCTGGCCTCAGTCAGCCTTTCTGCAGGTGGGCTGGGGACTGGGTCATACATGGTCCTTGAGGGGACCAGGACGTACTTGTGCAAGGCATGTCCAGGGGATCCAGGTCAGCCCTGTAATAGCCGTTGCGGCAGACACAGTTGATGGCCCCTTCAGAAGTAGTCCGGCTGTTGATGGGACAGTGGGTACAGGCCTCGTCTCCTTGATTGGCCTTGAAGGTTCCTGATGGACAACCTGGGAGGGAAGACAGGAGGGTCACCAGAGAAGACTCAGAGAGGCTACGATCCATGGAAGGACCACCAGCCTCGATGCTGGGAACTCCAGCTCCTGTGGTCCTGGGGTCTCCAGCCTCCTATGTGGTGGTCCTTGCTCTGTCCTGAAAGCTCCAGACTTCCTGCTTTCTTACCCCTGAAGCTGTCTATGGGTTCCACGCAGGATCTTAGCAGTCTTCCCTCATCTGCCCCAGATTGGCTATGTCACAGGACATTGCATTCAGAGTCACACAGACCTGCGTTTGAGTCCCTGCTCAGTCTTTTACTCACTGTGACCCTCTAGACAAGTGACTTAACCACACTGAGACTCAGTTTTCTTCCTGTAAAATTATGATTCTGAGGCCCAGTTTTGCAGAGGTTATTTTTGGCAGTACTGGGGTTTGAACTCAGGGCCTCACATTTGCTAAGCAGGTGGTCTACTGCTTGAGTCACTCCTACAACCCTTTTTTGTGCCAAGTATTTTTGAGATAGGGTCTCGTGAACTATCTACCAGTGCTGGCTTCAAACCATTAACCTCCTGATCTCTGCCTTCTGAGTAGCTAGGATTACAGGCGTGAGCCTCCAGGGGTTTTGAACTCAGGCTTTTGCGATTGCTAGGTAGGCACTCTCCCTCTTGAGCCATGCCTCCAGCCCTTTTTGCTCTGGTTATTTTTGAGATACACTCTTGCTTTTTGCCCAGGCCAGTCTGGACCACAATCCTCCTATTTATGCTTCCTGACCTAGCTGGGATGATAGCGTGTACCACCATGCCCAGCTTTTTCATATTGAGATAGGGTCTCCTGAATTGTTTTTCCCCCTGGGCTGGCCTGGAACTGTTACTATGTTGCTCCCAATCTCAGCCTACCAAGTAGCTAGGATTATTTTGTTTTATTTTGCAGTGCTGGAGATTGAAGCTAGGACCTTGTAAATTCTAGGCAAGTGCCTACCACTTGAAGCATGCTCTCATCCCTTTGTTTTGATTTTGCTTTTGAGATATGGTCTTGCTAAATTTTGCCCAGTCTGGCCTTAAACCTTGATCCTTCTGTCTCTGCCTCCTGCGTAGCTGGGATTACAGGCATGAGCCATCACCTGGCTGCTTTTGAATCTGCCTGCTTGAATGGGAAAAGCATGAGTTTTGTATGACATGTAACGAGGAGGCAACAAACACAGTGGTTAGCATACAGGCTGCCCGGCAAATCCCAGATCCACCTGGGTGGGCAGCATGACCCTTGGGTGAGTCACTTACGTTGTTTCCTCACTTGTAAAATGAGACAACAGCATCTATCTCTGGGAGCTGTGTGAGTATTCTGCTGGTTGGCTTATGTAAAAAACACTTAGAACAATTCCCGGCAGTGTTATGCAGTTATTAAGTTTAAAACCAAGCTGCTGAGTGACCTTGGATGTTTTGTTTGACCTCTCTGATCTGCGGTTTCCTCACTGGTGAGGAAGCATCTGCCACATAAAGTGACTGTCAGGTTATAACACACACTGTGATAGGCACAAAGTGGAGGAGGGGCTGCAGCTCTGATCCTGGGCTCCATGGGCAAAGTAGGAGCTCAGTACATCAGCCTCAGGTGGCTTCCCTGGCGTATTAGAAAATGGTGCTCCTCCCCGGGGCCTGCCTCTCTGACTCTTGGAGTTGTTTCCAGGAGGTGAGCCAGTGATGATGCCACCAAGCTAGTGGACAGCCACCCTGGCTGATGTCACCCTGGCAAGGCCCTGTGAAGAAGCTCAGCCCCTGAGAAGTGTGGGGAAGACAGGACATTGACACATCCATCAGGTCCAGTGGCACCGATGACGGTAATCAGGAGGACCTCCAGATGTCATCATGGCCTCCGTGGTAAAGACAGGCAACCAGTACTGCAGAGTGCAGACACACAATGGCCGACGTTTATTGGCACCTGTAGCTCTGGCCCTGTCCCAAGAGCCATGTCAACTACTGGAAGCTCAGTAGAAGCCACCCTGTCACTCCCATTTCAAGACACAAGAATTAAAGCACCCAGATACAAAATCACTGTCCCAGGATGCTGGCTTACAGTGGCAGAGCTGGGGAGCAGCCCCGGGCAGTCTGGCTGCAAAGGCCACTTCTGCACCTACCATGCCACACTACCTTCAAGTGGTTTCCTTTGCGTCAAACACCCTGAGTGTTTGGGTAGCGATTCAGGGGCAGTTGCTGCTCTGGGCACCATCTGGGGCTCTCTCCTTCTGTGGTGCTGTCTCTGGGGCCCTGGCTCCTCCCTTTCATCCCTCTTTGGTGCCAGCCTTTGCTGCTGCTGGGTGAAGGGGTGGCCACCATCTTGGCCACTACCCAGGGGTCCTGGGGCCGTCCAACCACATGAACTACAGCCTGGCTCTGACCGATGGTCAGCCTCTGAGTTTGTGTCCTCTATTATAGAGGGGGGTCACAAGACTCCTGGCAGGGTCTAAACTATCCTTATAGTCCTGCCAGGGGGTCTAGGCTCCAAAGATCAGGTTCCTCCTGGCTCCCTCTCTGGAGAGTGTGTCCAGCTCAGTGCCTGCTCCATCTGCTGGCCATTCCCTGGCTGGCTGGCAAGTGGCTGCTCTCTCCCCTCCATGCAGTGCCAGCCCTTCCATCTGGACCATCTTCCCGGCTGCTGCTCCCTTCCTTGTGTCCAGCCCCTCTCAGACACCCCAGGCCACCCCTCCTAGTTGGTCCCTCATTGATTTTTCCGCCTGGACCCCCTCTGGCTCTGAGTTTCCTAAAACCTGCTTCTCTTCATGCTGGGAGGTGGCCCTTACTCTGCACCCCATGTCTCCTCTCTCCCACCCCCTGCAGTCAATCAATTACCAGGTCTTCCCTCCTCCACAGGGTCCCATCCAGGTTCTTCTTGGCCACCTCCCACCCCTGCAGGCATCTAGAAAGCTCTTTCCACCCACTCCTTAGCCTCCAGAACCATCTGGCCTCCTCCCGCCCACCCTTCAGAGACAGCTTTCTGAAGTGCAAACCTTTCCATGTCACTTAAAAAGGCAGAATGGCAGACAATGGAATATTATTCAGCCACCAAAAGGAGAGCAGGACTGATACATGTTCCCACACAGGGGACCTTGAACACATTGTGCTCAGTGAAAGGCGCCGGTCTCAAAAGTACGATTCCATTTATAGGAAATAGGCCTAGAAGAGGCACATCTGAAGAGACAGTTAGTCGATGCCTGGTTGCCAGGGGCACGGGATGGGGAGAATGGGAAAGGACTACTAATGGGTAACAGGCTTTCTTTTGGGGCAATGGAAATGTTCTAAAATTGATCGTGGTGGTGCTCACAATGCTCCTGTAAGTGCACGAAAACCCATTAAATTGGACACTCTGAGCAGGTGAATTGTGAGGCCCGTGTCTAATGAAGATGCTTTTCAAAATCCCCACTGTGACAAGCCCTAGGGCAGCCGGGGCTCTGCAGGGCCCCGCAGTGCCTATGGGTTAACCTTGCCCACCTCTCCAGACTCGATGCCCACTCCACCTGATGCTCAATATTCCCTCCCACTCACTCACACATGTGCCAGCCCCAGGCCCATCCCACACTTCTGGCCTTTGTGCATCCTGTCCTCACCACTGAGACTACCCTCCCTTCCTCACCAGGCAGACGTCACCTCCTCCAGGAAGCCTTCTCTAAGCCCCTGTAATATTGGGTGCTCATTTTAATCACTTACTTAGGACTGCATCTGCCTGGCTGGACTGTGAATTCTCAATACAAGGCCAGCTACCTTGGAGGTGACAAATGCATGAAGCAGGAAGAATGTCCAGCTCAAGCCTGCTGTTGGTATTTTGGGAAACCAAGGCTCAGAGAAGAGCAGACAGGCCCAGGTCTTGGGAGGTAGATGTCGTCCCAGGCTACTGTGAGGCCGAAATGTATGCTGATATCTCAGCTCCTACTGCTCCCTCCTCTGCCCCGGAGAGAGGTCTGAGTGGCCATCCAGACACAATGCACTGAGGGGTATGCTGTTCCCAGCCTCCTGGGGCTGGGTGTCCTTCCAACAACTGGTTTCATGTGCAGGAACCAAGACAATGCAAGGAGACCCCAGCTCCTGGCACAGTTTTGGCACCACAGAAAGGGCTCAACATCTACTGGTTGGATGAGCAAATTTGCCTTCACAACAGGTGCTGGGAGGAGCAGATGACAAAGTAGAGGGAAATATTTAGCCAAGCCAGTGACCTGTCTTGGTGCTACAGCATCCTCATGACCTTATCAGTCCACCCCTGAGGCTCAGCTCCCGGCCCACTCTGTCTGCCACAGTGACTGAATCACTCTGGTTTTCAAACTGGAAATCCTGTGTCCAGAAACTCCTGAGTCTCATGGCAGCTGGGAGGATTTGTTGTCCTTCTGGATGCCTCTCCAGCCCCACCTGTCATCTTTCATCTGTTTGCAGGTCCCTAAGTATCCAGGCTGCACACCCTGCTCCCTGTGCCCTTATCCTTGTCTCTGAAGACTGGTGCACATGACGTGTGCATCTCTGGGAAGCCTGGCCTCCACCCTCCTCCAGAGGCCAGCTCCAGCCTCTATTGGTCACCGAAGACATGCTCTGCACGCAGCAGTGTACCAGCAAACGGGCCAGTTAGGAAGCAAAAAGCCCTGCCTTGTGTTTGCTGCATCTCTGTGGTGTGTGTACCACCCCCAGAGCAAACTCCATGCAACGGACTTGAGACCACAGCACACTGTGCTGGAAAAAATGTGCATACTTGACTCTTGCACGCCACTTGTACGCGGGCCAGCCATTACTAGACTTGGGTGACATGGGACTGATCTCTGTCCTGCCCACTAGCCGGACACCTAAGGACCTCAGCACTTACTATATGTGATCTAGCTTACAGTATGTGGTCAGCTGATTCTGTTTGCTGAATGAAGGCAGGACTGCATCCCCAATTGGACAGTGAGCAATTCAGGTGTGGGCTTTGGATGGGTTGATATATGCAAAGCTTTTAGAACTCACAGCACACATTATGCAAATATTAGTGACTATTACTCATTCAG